GTTTAAAAAGAAAGTGTTTCTTAAATCATTGTGTGGTTCATTTTGCAAAGAGTGCCAGACATATAGGCCATACTCAGTGTGTAACTATTTTAATGAATCCATGAATACATGAGAAAAGTGTACCAGTGTACCGATTTTGCTGATGGGAAAAAATTAGTCTTTCAGATATTACCAAGCATGATAATGATGTATGATTTTGTGAATGTGATGCAAAAAGATGGACAATAGAAGTCATGCTTTTCTTTATTACATTACTGCCTTTCTGTATCATCACATAAATTAATTTTAACACTCTTATTGGCTGTAATAAAGAAAATGTAGCTAGTTCCATTATTTGCTTGTTTCTTTTTCTTTTTTATTATTGAGTACTTTATTTATCTATATTTCAGATGTTATCCCCTTCCCCCATCCTTACCCCCAGAAACCCCTTAACCCATCCTCCCTCTTCCTATTTCTATGAGGGTATACCCCAACCTACCCACTCTCTCTCACCTCTCCTCCTTCAAATTTCTCCTTACTGAGACATCCAGCCTTCAAGGGAACAAGATCCTCCACTCCCACTGATTTCCTACTAGTCAATCCTACTCTATAAATACAGCTAGAATCATGGGTCTTTTCATGTGTGTTCCCAGGCTATCTGTTTTGATACAGGGAGCTCTGGTTTGTTGGTATTGTCACTCTTCCAGTGGGGAAACAAGCCCCTTCAATTCCTCAAATCTTCTCTTTAACATGTCCACTGGTAACCCTGTGGTCAGTTTGATGGTTAGCTGTGAGCATTGGCCTATGTATATGTCAGGCTCTGGCAGTGCCTCTCAGGAGACAGGTATATCAGGCTCCTGTCAGCATGCACTTCTGGACATCCACAACAGTATTTGTATATGATGATTACATGTTGAGGGACCTTCAGGGGGGGCAGTCTCTGGATGGTCTCTCCAACAGTTTCTGTCCTGTACATTATCTCATATTTGCTCCTGTGAGTATTTTGTTACTCCTTCTAAGAAGGACTGAAGGACCCAATCTTTAGTCTTTTTTTTTCTTGGGCTTCCTGTGGTCTGTGAGTTCTTCTTTAGTATTTTGAAATTTAGGGCTAATATCCACTTATCAATGAGTACATACCATGTGTGTTCTTTTGTGACTGGGTTACCTCACTCAAGATGATATTTTCTAGTTCCATCCATTTGCCAAAAATTTTCATGAATTCACTGTTTTTAATAGTTGAGTAATATTCCACTGTGTAAATATACCAAATTTTCTGTATCCATTCCTCTGTTGAAGGACATCAGGGTTCTTTCCAGCTTCTGACTATTATAAATAAGGCTGCAATTAACATAGTGGAAAATGTGTCCTTATATTTTAGACCATCATTGATGAGTAGCATCGCTGGATCCACAGGTAATATTTTGTCCAATTTTCTGAGGAACCTCCAGGCTGATTTCCAGAGTAGTTGTACAAGCTTACAATTCCACAAACAATGGATGAGTGTTGCTCTTTCTCCACAGCCTCCCCAGCTTCTGCTGTCATCTGAGTTTTTAAACTTAGCCATTCTGATTGGTGTGAGGTGGAATCTCATGGTTGTTTTGATTTGCATTTCCCTGATGAGTAAAGATGTTGAATATTTCTTTAGGTGCTTCATGGACATTTGATATTCCTGAGTTGAAAATACTTTGTTGAGCTGTGTACCCCACTTTTAATAGGGTTATTTTATTGTCTGAAGTTTAATTTCTTGAGTTCTTTATAAATTTTGGATATTAGGCCTCTATCAGATGTAGGATTGGTGAAAATCTTTTCTCAATCTGTGGTTGGCTGCTTTTTCCTATTGATGGTGTACCTTACAGAGGCAATGCAATTTTATGAGGTTCCATTTGTCAATTCTTGGTCTTAGAGCATAAGCCATTGGTGTCCTGTTCAGGATCTTTCCCTGCCAGGGGGCAGACCTAACTTGGGGGGAATCTTCTTCTTCTTGTCTGTTCTTGTGGCAGTGGAGTGAGAAGAGTGTTGGTGGGGGTAAGACTTGATATTAAGAGATTTGGTGTAAGACTTTGGTCTTACAACATATTTAGGGTTCCTGTATAATAAAAGTTTACTTACCTTTTATTTATTTACTTTGCTACTATAGCTGACTTCCCTTTTGTGCTCCTCTGAGGTCAGAAACTGCAGTTTCTTGCACTTAGTACCTCATCCCAAAACAGCAAAGGATTAAGTAAATAGCCTTTGTACTGTCTCAGCAGGAACTCCTGGGCTCTTATTCCTGCTAGTCTGAGGTACCTAGAAACAAAAACACTTAGAGAAGTTATTATAGAGTTTATTTTTAAGTGTTAAAAGTTTCCTATTAAAGCTATCTAAGGTGAAAAGTGGAAAGTACTAAGGAAGAAAAAGGAAAAAAAAATTCTAATAAGGGAAACATTCTAAGGCAAAAATTCTAGGCAGGGGAAAAAGAAAGGAAAGGACAGATGACTCTCTTTCTCTCTTTCTTTTTCTTTAGTACTAATACATCTTTCAGAATACATGACCACATGTTTCAATGTTCATCACAAGTTCACACCAGAAATCAAATCATAAATTGACATATAAGTATAAAACAGAGAATGTTTACATGGATATTCATTAGGAATAATTATCTGGCTAAACATCCATCGTCTGTCTAGCTCCACAGGTTCACTGAAGGTTTAAAATTATAACTAAGAAATTAGTGAAATTTAGTATAGATAAACCCAGGCAATATTTTATCTTCTGTCCTAGCTCCTATAATAAGCAGTTAGTTTCCTTTTAGTGAAATTTGGTTAATTGTTTTACCTCTTGGAAGGTGCTCTTTGTATGAGAAAGTCTGGATACTATCTAAGAGCAAATTGCTGGTGACACTTGGTAGACTGTCAGAGTTCTCATTGCAGTTTTGATTATCAGAAAGGGACCTAATAGCAGTACCAGTATAAAAGAGCTTAACATTCATTGATAAAACTTTAGGAATTCTTAAAGGATCATCATTAAGACTTAAGACGTTATCTAGTTGTCTATATAGCATTATCACAAGACAATACATGTTTGTGGATTTGCAGAGATTGGCTCCAAAGGGGTGTCCTATTACTTAGTGATTGTTACATATGTTTAATAATAATAGGAGAAGCATATTAATAGTAGGAATCTTTAGTAAAATAAGTCTCATAGAGCCTTGCAGAATAAGGTCTTACTTGTCACAGATTATATAATAATCCAAGGCAAGCCATTCCAGGATGATCACCCACTAGTTATTAGCTTGTCCTATTACGGCTTCTGACATTTTCCTCTGTTCCTATGTGTTCGAGGCTTTTCCCCACTTTCTCTTTTATTAGTTTCAGTGTGTCTTTTTTCATATGGAGGCCCTTGATCCACTTAGACTTGAGTTTTGTACAAGACGATAACAATGGATCTATCTACATTTTCCTACATACTGATCTCCAGTTCAACCAGCACCATCTGTTGAAAGTACTGTCTTTTGTCCACTGTATGGTTATAGCTCCTTTGTCAAAGATCAAGTGACTATAAGTACCTGAGTTCATTTCTGGGTCTTCTATTCTATTCCATTGATCTTTCAGCCTGCCTCTGTACCAATATCATGCAGGTTTTTCCTTTTTTCTTTTTCTTATCACTATTACTCTGTAGTACAGCTTGAAGTCAGGGATGGTGATTCCCCCAGATGTTCTTTTATTGTTGAGAATAGTTTTCACTCTCCTGTTATTTTTTATTCCAAACGAATTTGAGACTTGCTTTTTCTGTCTCTGTGAAGGTTTGAGTGGGAATTTTGATGGGGATAGATTGGTCTTGGCAAGATGACCCTTTTTTTTTTTTTTAACTACATCAGTCCTCCCAGTCAAAGAGCATGGGAGATCTTTCCATCTTTGGAGAACTTTTTTTTTTCTTCAAGGAGTTGAAGTTCTTGTGATAAATATCTCTGGCTTTCTTGATTAGATTCACCTGAGCTATTTTAAATTTTTGTGACTATTGTGAAGGGTGCCGTTTCCCTAATTTCTTTCTCAGCCTGCTTATCCTTTAAATAGAGGAAGTCTACTGATTTGTTTGAGTTAATTTTATATCCAGCCATGTTGCTGAAGTTAGCAGGGTTAGGAATTCTCTGGTAGAAGTTTTGGGGTCACTGAAATATACTATCATATCATCTGCAAATAGTGATATTTTTTCTTCTTCCATTCTAATTTTTATCCCTTTGATCTCCTTTTGTTGGATAATTGCTGTCTAGGACTTCAAATACTACATTGAATAGATAGTGAGATAGTGGGCAGCCTTGTATAGACCCTGATTTTAGTGGGATTGCTTCAAGTTTCTCCCCATTTAGTTTAATATTGGCTACTGATTTGCTGTATATTGATTTTACTATGTTAAGGTATTCACTTTGAATTCCTGTTCTTTCTAAGCCTTTTACCTTGAAGGGATGTTGAATTTTGTCAAATGCTTTCTCAGCATGTAGTGAGATGATCATGTGTTTTCTTTTCATTGAGTTTTTTATATAGTGGATTACACTGATGGATTTCCAAATGATGAATCATCCCTGCATTTCTGGGGTAAAGCCCACTTGATCAATGTGGATTATTGTTTTGATGTGTTCTTGGATTCTGTTTGTGAGAATACTATTGAGTATTTTTGCATCGATATTCATAAAGGAGATTGATCTGAAGTTCTCTTTCTTTTTTTTTTCAAAGTTTTATGATAGGTTTATTTAAAATATTTTAGTCAAAAAAGTTTGCTAAATAGATTTTTCCAATATTTAAAGAAAATGGTATCTGTAATAACAGAAAGGGTAACTGGTCATCCATCATGCCAACGCAAGCAAGGTCTTCCCAGTGCAGCAACAAAGTTCAGCGTGAATACAGTGGCCGATTCCGAAAGCATGCAAGTTACATCAGGTTGCTTCTAAGTCAGGAGAAACCCATTAACCGGGCTCTGCCCATGGAGAGACATGGGATGCCTGTGTAAACTGCAGGCATGCCAGCTCTGTCAGGTTGCACCTCAGGCTACCTGATGTTGGGTTTTATTTCTTTTTCTTCTTCTTCCTCGCTATCGTCCACCTGTTGTATGACCAGATCGGCAGACCCATCCTCTACAATCTCCACATAGGCTCGATTCTCTCCTTCGTTCAGGTGCCACCGGCCATCCTTCTCTCCATCAGCCGGGGACGCACGGCGTGGCTCGGCTTCGAGGTCCACAGGGAGGCTGTCCATGCCCACTTCAGCAAGGCACTCGTTACACAGTCGGTAGCGCCTGGTTCCTTCCTGTACCACTTGCCCTGTGAGGTCAGTCACATGGCGTTTGCATTTCCTGCAGATGAGTTTGCATGCCTGGTGAATTGTTCGGAAATGGCTACTCAGATGGTCGAGCCTGCTAAAGCGTTTCCCACAAGCCTGGCAAGGGTACGGCCTCTCTCCTGTGTGGCAGCGCAGGTGGCGCTTGAGGTCTGCCTTCCGCTTCACCACATGAGTGCAGTATGGGCATTTGAATCGCAGCCTGGGCAGATCATCTGGAAAGCTCCTGGATGTGACATCAGACCCTTGGCTGTACTGGTAGCCAGCAGGAACAGAATCCACTTCAGCATCAACCTCTACCTGCTCTTCAGACTGGGGAACATGGTTGCTGGAATTGGAGGGCCGAGCATCTCCTTTGCCAGACTTAAAATGAACAACTTCAGATGGCTGTGGTAATCTCAAATGCTTGGTCTTTTTAATGGGGTCCTTCCTTTGCTCGTGCTTGGCTAATGGTTGCTGAGGACCCCTCTGGGAGGCTGGGTGGTAACCGTACTTGTTCCATGGCTTTCCACTTACTAGACTTGGTCCTTGGTCTGGGCTCAGGTGAGAGCTGGGAGACCCACTTTCTTCCTGCCAGCTGCTACTGTAAAAAGAGGAATGCTCTACTCCATTAGAGCCCGTGTCCTTATCTGAGAGGCTGAAGTAGCGATCTTTCTCTTTCTCACTAATGTCCAAGGAAGACTTAATGAAAGACTTACACACACTAATGACGTCAGTCATCTGAAGGAAGCTCGCGGCGGACATCACTTCTATAACATTCTATCCAGTAAGAGAGAGTTTGCCAGAGTAGACAAAGTCCAGGATGACTGTGAAGGTATCGGGGGAGAAGGTCTGAAACGTGGCTGTGGTTGGCTGACTTGTCTCCTTTGAGTTCTGAGAAAGCAGCATTTTGAAGTAGCCGCTGCTCGCAAACAACACATTCCCGTGCGCTTTGAAGACCTTGCCTTCGACTAGAATACTGCAGTCGCAAAACACGTCTTGCCTGCGCTGCTCGTTCAGCTGCTGCAGGAGGTGAGACTGGTGAGAGGAGATCTCCATTCTGAAAATGGACGATGCTACTCTTGAAACCTTGGGACTGTTGAAGGGCAAAGAGGAAGGACTCCAAGTCACCAAGTTCACAAACAGAGGAGTGTCCGCGGGGCTCTGGCGGCTCGCTCGCTCTCGTGCGCTGCGGAGCGATTCCCGGTTCTCGGTAGGGGAAGCACCCCCTTCCGAAGCCGAGGCTTTGCGCCCTAAAACAAGTAGCCCCAACGTGGGAGAAACAAAAGGTATTTGCTGACGTGGGCGTTGGACAGAAACGCCCGAGGGCTGAGGACACAATTAAAGGGGCAACGCACAGATTTCAGGCACCAACCAGCAGCTTCGCCCACTCCCCCTGTCCGTGCCCACACCCGACTGCACCCTCCGCAGGCACTGGGGCGCCCAGGTTCCCCAGCAGTTGACTGCGGATCATCTGAAGTTCTCTTTCATTGTTGGGTCTTTGTATGGTTTATGTATGAGCATAATTGTGGCTTCATATAATGAATTGGGCAGTTTTCCTTCTATTTCTATTTTGTGGAATAGTTTATAAGGAATTGGTATTAGGTCTTCTTATAAGGTCTGACAGAATTCTGTACTAAAACCATTGGGTTCTGGGCTTTTTTTTTTTTTTTAGGTGTATTAAACATTTGAAACTCTTTAGCAGCAATTTAACATTACCCATATTATCAGGATTCCTTATAATTGTCAATGACAAGAGCCTGTGGAAGGGGCCCATGGATCTTTAAATCAATATCTTCATAAAATAAAGAGTGGGAAGATATACCCATGTACACCACAAATTTACTTTAATCTTACTGTTTTTCGTTTTTATTTTTAAAGTTTTTTTTTTAAATTTGGATTTCAAGGAACTTTCTGCTGAGTGTCTATGGTGCTCTACAAGTAGGAAGAGTTATTCATGGGTGAAAGAGAAGGATCTACTTACTGGAAAAAGGCATGTTCTTGATCTGGTATTAAATACGGGGAAGAGGGCATGTTTGTGGTTTTTCTGCAGGATGATGAAGGAGCATAGTGGCTGCCGGAGTCATGGGGAAGACAAGCAGATGCCAGGACAAAGAATCAGGCTGAAAACATAAGAGAAGTCATAATGCCTTTTGTATTTTTCTTAAATGTGACCAGTTATTCAGACTCAATCATGTACTGATCTAGAAATCAATTCTGTATTGAAATAACAGTCCTTATTTGGATGTCTGGTTCTGGACATTTTCAGAGACATATATGGAAATTAGCTGCAATTCTCTCTGATGTTATGTTAGCAAGAGATAAAGTTGGGGCAGAATCTGGTTTTCAAACAGGGGTTAGCACATATGATAAGGCTCTTTTAATTTTCAAGTTAAAAATACTTTTGTTTCTTCTATAGTAATTAATGCAAGTTGAACTGATTGTACACCTTCTAATTGTATTTGTGATTTGAAATCTGGCATGTCAGTTATGGAGGTCTATCATTCACATTTTGTTTTCGTGCCCTGAGTATCACAGAACCTTGGCATTCTAAAAATAACTTGCAAGTATTGGATGAAATGTGTCAGGCTTTAAGCAGAAGCTAGAGGGGAGTGGGCTTGATTATTGCTGGTATAACATCTTTAATTACATTCATTTCTATCACTACTGTTTTTGCAATTGCTGTGGCACAAGAAAGTAACACACCTACTTTTGTTAGTCATTTGGCAAAAGATGCTACTAATGAGTTGGATATACCAGGAGATTTAGATAGGCATTTAGGAGAACAGTTTGATGCTCTTTATCCTTTTTAAATTACTGGAAGGAAGTTCAGAATTTGTGGATAAGGAGCCATCTTGAGTGTCATGCCAAATACCATTGGATCCATGTTAGTTCCAAAATTTACAGTGGTAGTCATTATAATTAGGAATAAGTTAACTATAAATGCAGTGTATTTGGAATAATTCTAAGAACTCTTTGGATTTTTTAATGATACATACAGATTTATAAATTTCAAAAATGCTTCTCTGCTGAGCATTGATATGATAGATGGTGCAGATAAAATTATCCATGGCCTGAGGTCAATATTCCTATTTTTGTCAAGCTACAAGAATGGCATACATAGTTTGATCATGCTAACCCTTTTCATCCTCGGAATATTTTATTCCTGCCCATTGTGTTAAGGCTCCAACAACATCAACAGGTTGGCAGCCAAGTACGTGGTTAGAACCTGAAAATGTACCCCCGACAGAGTTATTGGGTTAACAGGCTGCCAAGCCAAGGACAGGCAAGTTTCTGCCCAGAGCCTTACCAACTTAAGATAGAAGTGAATTGCTTTTGATAATGCATATTCCATGATGAGTAAGGAAGGCATTCTTGTCAGAATGACCTAAGACAGGGTCAGTCTTGTTAATGAAAGAAAAAGGGAGGAGAGGCAGAAAGCCTTTGGGGCTGCTTGGCAATAATCTTACATGAGCTAAGGACAAGGAAATGGGTTGTTTACAGGAATATGACACTGTCCAAGGACAAGGAAGTAGGCTTCAGGCAGGAATCTGACATTAGGCTAGAACAAAGAAGTAATTTCAGGTAGGAATCTAAATCTTCGGGCAGAATAAATAAGTAATTTTAGGCAAAAATCTAAATTTTAGACTAGTACAAGGAAGTCTTCTGATGATACAAGTGAAAATAATTAATGGCCCAAGTACTGTGTCCAGTAAACATTCACTGTGAAGTAATCAAGGCTGAGACTTTTGAGGTTTGTCAGAAGGCATTTCCTACACATGTGTTGATTGTGGTGTTGCCTTTATAAAATTCTGTTTAACCAAATGTGGCTGATTGAGAGTGATCATCTCTCTAGTATGCACTTACTTCAGAGTCTAAATATGGAATTACAATGCCTACAGTTGCATGTCAAATATTACTGCTTGGAGGTTAAAACTAGAGTCATCTCACCTAATTGAATGATTGAGTCTCCCAGGTAATGTTGACAAAGCAGGTCTCAAGAGACAAAAAAGGTATTTTATTTGCATCATGAGAAGGAAAAAATTTAGAGGATACAGGAAAATAGGTCTAGTTTATGTCTCCTGGCTAAGGCAACTCTCCCACTTAGTACAGCTTTTTAACATTTTATAATTTAGGGAATTAGGTTATCTAATGATAAGCAATGAAACTGGTTTTAGAATTAATCTTTGATTTGCTCATACTTTTTAAGAATTAAGAAATGGAACCAATCTGATATAGGAATTGAAAAAACAAATATTATTTTTATATACTTTTTAATTTCAAAATTGTTTCCAGATGTATCCATTTCATCATCCCCTATGATGAAGTACTGCTACAAGTGGGTAAGGAAATTGGTGTCCCCAATCAGTGACTTGGTTTCCAGAGGTACATGGCTTGCTAGCTATGTGCTACACTAGTATAAGAAAAATAATCCCCAAGAATAAAAGTTTTCTTCAAATGCAAAAAAGATTGCTACATAAAATAACTAGGATACTTAAATTACAAAAGACTTATTAAGTCTGATCAATATTTTCACAGAAGTATATTATAATTACTGTTCTTATGCATGTATGTATGTATGAATGTATGTACGAATGAATATATGCATGCATGGATTATTCCTATCATCTAAGCTACATGGCAAATAGTGTATTATTTGGAAGAGATTTAATCCAAGTATGTTTTCTTCCTAGGAGAATCTTGCTGGAAAGCAGAAACAATTTTCCTCATGGAATTTTGTCTTAACTTCTATTCCATCTGCTTTGATATGTCTCTGCTAAAGTTTTAGCTTGTCAGTTTCCTTATCCCTTTGCTGTTAACAGAGCTTCTTCATTCTTTTAGGTATTTAATAACAGACTTTTTGTTGCTCTACTGTTTTACCTCTGCCAAATTCTGATTTAACATAGAAAATCTAAGAACAGACCACTTCTTTTAGGTGAGACCTTCAGTTCTAGTGTAGAGAAATATGTCACCACAGAGTCTGGACTGCAGGAATCTGAGGGCATATGGCAACAGCAGTCTATGCTTAAAGAGGACTTGACCTTTAGTGACTAGATAGCAGTTTTCTCGTGGTGAGTGGAGACATATCATTATGCCTAAATCTGATTCAAAATTTTCTACTTTGAGGATACTAAGAGTATTGGATTAAATTCAACCTAGTAATTACTTTGACTTCATTTTACCTATAAAAATTCCTGATATCCTTATATTTTTAGTATCCAAATCACACACAGTGTAGAGGAGGACTGAAGGTAAAGGCTGAATCATTTAAATTATGGGTAAAGAAAATTATACCCACAACTCTTTACTTCTTTCATTTAAACCAATGATTTTAGTCATTGTTAAATATCTGATTTTTTTAAAGATTTATTTATTTATTATATATGAATACACTGTAGCTGTCTTCAGACACACCAGAAGAGGGCATCAGATCTCATTACAGATGGTTGTGAGCCACCATGTGGTTGCTGGGATTTGAACTCAGGACCTCTGGAAGTGCAGTCAGTGCTCTTAACCACTGAGCCATCTCTCCAGCCCAAATATCTGATTCTTGAAAACTTCCTTCTTCTACTCTGAGTTCCATCTCACCTATTATTACCTTATCAGGTCTGGGAAAGGCTCAAAATCTGATTCATGCTAGCAAAATCACTCCTTAACTGTACAGCTATGAAACCACACACACAGTCTGCTCCCAGCATAGAGAGGTGGCACAGAAATAGAGAGGTTTGAAATCCCCCTTCTAGGAGAGACAATTCAGAATGAAGGGAAAGATCAGGAACCTAAAGTAATCTAAATATAGATTGGCAAATACCATCAGATTTTGACACTAGAGAATTTTTGTAGTCCTTTTCGGGTTTACTTTTGGCCTATTCTGGGGCAGCACTCTTGATCTGTTCAATATTTTTCCAGATGTTAATGTAATTTTTGTGCTTCTGTGGTTGTCATCTCAGATATATCTTTGGCCTGCTGCATTACAATTCATATATTTTGGAATTGAGGATTTTGATGCAGGGAATGTAACAATGTCTCTTAGAAACATGAACTTTTTCCCATTTTTCATTGAAGTTATTTGACATTACCATC